TCACTCATTCACTCACTCATTCACTCACTCACTCACTCATTCACTCACTCATTCACTCAACCACTCACTCATTCACTCATTCACTCATTCACTCACTCATTCACTCAACCACTCACTCATTCACTCATTCACTCATTCACTCACTCATTCACTCAACCACTGATTCACTCAACCACTCATTCACTCATTCACTCACTCATTCAATCATTCGCTCAGTCACTCATTCATTCACTCACTTATTCACTCACTCTTCACTCACTTATTCACTCACCCATTCACTCACTCATTCACTCACTCATTCATTCATTCACTTACCCATTCATTCACTCACTCTCTCATTCACTCACTTATTTACTCACTCAGTCACTCATTCCTTCACCCACTCACTCATTCACTCATTCACTCACTCACTCACTCACTCACTCACTCTCTCACTCTCTCACTGGGCCCGGCCTGTCCACCCTCCAGTGTCCTCCACTCTTCCTCAGCACAGACTTGTCCTGCATGGTGGGCAGCCCCCTCCTCAGCACAGACTTGTCCTCCATGGTGGGGCCCTGATGAGCCCATGCAGGGGGAGCCCTTCGCCTGCCTGACCCACCAAGAGCCTCTGCCCAGGGTCAGCATGGGACTTACAGATGGCCGAGAACCCCCACAAAGGAGGACCTGTGGATTCTGCCTGGGGGATGAGCACAATGTGGGGAAGCTCTGGGCTGGGGAGGGAGGCCTGTGGGGAGGGACCCAGGATCCCAGCCACACATCCAAACATGTCAGGGGTGGCAGGTCCTATGAGCTGTGTTCTATCCTTCTACCGACTGCAGTGGAAGCTGGAGGGTGGGGTGGTCAGGGAGGGGCTTCCCACAGGCTGAGTCCCAGCCTCTGATAGTGCTGGTCAGCCTGGAGTTGGAGTGGGATGGGGAACGAATCTATTATTATTCTTAGAAGAAGTTCGCTTTGGAGATGAAGTGGGGGAAATACAGCCCACCCCAGCCTTCATTGCGCCAACAGCCCAGGCTTTATAAACTGTCAGGCCAACCTACACATACCCTGTGGACACCATGCTTGTGTGTAACCTCAGGAGAGAAAGGCCTCACTACCCGGCCAGGTGGGCAGAGGCTCAGCGATTACCCCAGATACCCAGGGGACCTGGCCCTGAAGTCCAGCAGTGCCAGACTGCCTGTGACCCACCTCCGGGCCTTCACATACACTGTGTCCTCTGCGGGACACCGTTCCCCTCTCCTATCTCCGATCCCCTCCCTGACCCCAGCTCGCAGGACGTCCTGCAGGGGACCCTTTCCTCATCGGAGCCAGGTCTCTTTTCCAGATGTTCAAGCTGCTGTCCAGAGCCTATGCTGACGTCCACCCCATGATGATGGACAGGTCGGAGAACAGGTGTGGAGGCAACTTCCTGAAGAGGGGGAGCATCATCAATGGGGCGGACTGGTACAGCTTCACAGGAGGTGCGACTTCTGCGGGGAGGGGCTGGGGTGGGAGTCGGGGAGTGCAGAGGCTGGATGGGGCG